AATTAGAAAATTTAAAAAATTTAGTAGAAAGTATACCAAGAAGAATTCAGGTTGTAATAGATAATAATACTTTTATGAACACAGCAGTATAAATTTTATTAAAAGTTATTTAGTAAATTCTTTAATAATAATAAAAACAAAATCAACTTTGAATTTTGTAAAAAAAATCGCGATGATCAACTTGGTTATTATAACATGCACATTTTTAATTGGACGATCAACATATATACCCTTAACGCGTTTCTTTTTTATTGCCAAGGGTGCATCCTTATTGTTCTTCTCCTGTGAACCGAACGCGTTTTAGAGTGCTCCTTTTCTGTCTACGACTTTTTCTTTCTATTTTGTGAGAGATATAAACCCATTTAGATTTCTTTTTGAAATAGATGCACAAATTTTCTGACCATGAGTACTTTGAGCAAAAATCAAAGTGGACTATTAAAGGATTTTTAGAGGATTGTGATCTAGAACCGCTTGACCGGAAAATAGAGTGTTATATTACGTGTCTCGAAAAAATTGCCAATACTGAAGAAGGCCGGAGACGTGATCAAGCAAATCAACTACTGCGTAGGTATAGATCGGTAAGTTGAAGATCTCTGGTGATTACTATTTTCACAAAGTCATTGCTGGGGCATGGATGACCTTCGAGGTTATCTGATGTTGAAGGCTCCGAGTCGAACTGGTAATGACTCCACTGGGGCATGGATGACCTCCGAGGTTGTCTGATGTTGAAGGCTCCGAGTCAAACCGGTGGGATAGAAAATCAGATGGGTTGAGTATATTACTAGTATATTACTTAGTATATTACTAACTATATATTTATGCTAGGGAACGCGACCTGATTATCAAGTGGCCAAAAATTGGGACAATGCCCGTAAATCCTCGATTAACCTCTATCAACCAACATTTAATGGCAACTCTTTGGGTGTTGCAAATATCAGCGGTGGGACTGTTGTTGTTGGATCAAATGAAGAGGCAACATCTTCGGGTAGAAATCGTGCTTTTGATAGCATTTTAGATTCAGATTTAATTTCCCCTACAGGGGTCAATAGGGTAAATATTCCTACAAAATGTTTCTTACCTTTCTTTCATTGGTATGAAATATTGTTGGTAATTAAATATTTTGTAATATAATATTCACAGAAATTATCGGAAAAACAGATCGATGATTCAACGTCCGGATCAGCCGGATCAGGGTGCAAGAGAGCTTACGAAAATGACAAAGAAGTTCATGTGAATAGTGATGATGACGACACTCTTGGTTCCTCCAATTCCTCTGATTCCTTCAATTCCTCCGATTCTTTCAAATTCACTCATTTAGATAATAACAATAAGAAGGCAAGTAACATCAATTCAATACTTGACGATCTATGTTAATATTAATAAAATATTTATATAAATTTAGCAAAAAATTGATAAAGGAAAAAACCGCGAAGATACAGAAGAAACACGAAGTACCAATGTTGTAAGTTGACATTTAATTGATCATATGTAATTCATTTTTCTGAAAGATAATATGCATTTCTTATTAGCCTAGGACACAATCCCCAAGGCCAATTAATAAAGCACTTATTATTATCACTCCACAAAAACCGACCCTTTCTGAAAAGTCAGCGCAATACTTACCTAATCATATAACAATAAATACAAACGAGCAACATGCAGTTTTAAAAACTGAGGAGGTTTCTATAAAAATTCCGGATGTAATTTATAACTGGCTTATCAAAGTACTTTCGGTAAGTTATCAGAAATGTCTTTTACATAATTCAAGGTATATAATTAAAAAAATTCTCGTTTAGACAGATAAGAAAGAATTTAAAAATGCCATTATGGCACAAATTGAATCAGATCGTGAAGATCATCATCATTTTCGCCAAGTATGCGAACTAATTCTTTACGACTTGTGGGTATATTTATTTTATCAATTAATTTTTATATTTTATTCAGCAATAAGAATTTTACTTATATAATTTTAAAATTAGTTACTATATGACACGATTGAGTTCATTGGATCGGAATATAAATGAGAGAACCTACACCGTGGAAAGAATTGTCCCGCTCTTTAAGGCACTACAATCGGAATATCCAGAGTATAAATTCAGCTGGATTGAGATTGAAGTAAAAAGTATCAAGGAAATGCTGAAGGTGTTTCCGGGGTTTGATTTAATCATAAATAAAGCAGATGGTATAGGTATAAAGGTTTCAAGTAACCAGGCAGTTGTATTTATTGAGATATCCGGTGCCCCTAATAAACCGAATGAAAAACACATAAAAGGGGATTCAGAGAAACTTTTAAAAGAAGCCACATTTGGGTTGGTTTCTTTACTTAGGCATTATTTGGATAAACCTGCAGAGATTGCAAAGAACGTGCACGTTTATATGATACAATGCATCGGTAACGTCCTTATCATATTTCTCTATATCATTTTGGTTTTCCTTCAAAATGTATTTTTCTTATATTTAATATTTATTTAGGTGATAGAATGACATTAAGTAAATTTTCGCTTAGTGGAAAATATCATTACAAAACTTCACAAATCAAATCAGCCCGAATTCCATTTTCGCTTGTTGAAGTTGCAGATTATTTGGAAATTTTTGAGCTGTTATATGCTTTAATAGTGAGTATGAGTATTTCCCATATACTGTATATATAATGTGTGTAAATATTATCGGGAGCTTTAATGTAACATTCACATTTAATCTTTAGGATGGGCTTGAAAGTCAAACAAAAGAGCTACACAAATTAAGGTTATCCCCTAACGATTGTATACCCAAAGTTCGAGATTGGCTTTGGGTTCCAGACAAAACTGCAACTTGGACAGGCGATCAATGATGTAATTTTAGCTTCACGCAGTTTAAAACATCAAGAAAATTCTTCGTATCTCCGATAATCGTTCTAATAGTTTTAAATAAAAACGCATTATGAAAATAATGCACTCGAGTTTTATTGCTTAAAAAATAAGATTTAATTTAATTTTCTTCGTTTTGAATATGTAATAATCATAAATGTATTTAAAGTTTTAACTTTACTCAATAAGACCCAATTCCCGATGATGCTCCGGGATAACTATATATGAGTCTTCGTAGTAACGACATATCTTATGACAATCCAGTTTTCTTTCCTACTCTTGCTGTTAAATCATCCGGATCTCCTTTATGAAAGAATTTGTGATATTTTTCATGCTATTCCTCTTGCACATCGATAGCAAAACAATGATGATAATAGGGAATATCCAGTTCCAATCCATTAGTGTTCTTAAGAAATCAGACCAACGATTTTCTGATAGATGCTCAAGATATTTTAATTACAATTTCATGACAAAGTATTTCATCTTATTTTACAAAATGGGTACCAGGTATTATTATTTTTAATATTTTTAAGCGTTGAATATCATTCATGTCCTTTGACAAATTTCCATAATAAAGGTGTACGAATATTAGCAAATATCTCAGAAAGACATTCACCATTTTTGCTATATGTAATATGTTTAGCTTCTTCAAGGGTAAGATGTGCCTGCACAATACGGGCACCAACTATTACTATGTTTTATACTTGCAAGTCTAACACTCCATTCATGTTCTTTAGCATTTTCATAATAAGGTGAATGAGTATTAACAATATTTTAGAAGAATACTTCCTATTTCTGCTCTGCTATATACGATTTGTTTGGCTTCTTCAAGAGTAAAATATTTATTGTGTACACAATCTGGGCATCAACTATTATAATGTTTTATATAAGCAAAAGAAGGTTATTTATAATCCATAGCATATTGGCAAGAAAGTAATATACTGTATATATATACTGTATTTTTTTGAAGAAAAACTTATCATTTTTATTATACACAATTTGTTTGATCACTTTTTTTTTTTAAACCCTTTGTTAGACTAAATATGTGTGCTTTATTAAACATGTGTATATTTTACATTAAAGAATGTATCACTAAAGCTAAGTTTCTACCTAACTCACTCATCTCTATTTTAAAGAATTATTAAAACTCTAAGTACAACTTCAGGAGTAATTTATCGCTCCATTAACAGTTCAGGTAAAGATCCTTCCAATTGTTAACTTTATTGTCTGCAGGTCACTACTGCAGCCAATTTGTTTGATCTCTTTAATTAATAATAACAATTGAAAGTATACTATAAATATTATTTTTTGACATATATAACAGTATATTAATAAAGTCTTTGGACAAATTTTTATATTATAAAGTTATTCTATGTAAACTTTTTATTTATTAGATATATATAATTATATACTGTATATTGTTAAAAATAAAAAACTATTTAAATTAATTTTATGATACAAAAATTTGTCCAAAGACTTTATTAATGTACTGTAATTTTATAAAAGAAAATTAATCATTTATATTCTAGATAGCATTTTTATATTATTGAAATAGTAGAATTAATATTTAGAATGGATTCTCAGCTATGTTTATTTATTTTAATAAAGTAATTTACAAATTTTATTATAAAGATACAAAGATTTTTAACTAAAATCATATATTATTTATGTTATTAAACTCTTTAAAATTTGATCTTTAATAGATTTATCAAGTGACTTGTTATCTGGAAGTATTTGATTAAATTAAAATTTACTATTACTTATCTAGAAAAACTAAATACCTCTTATTTAAATTTTCAATTCTTTCAAATCTTTTTAAATCAACTTGTTATTATTTAGCTTATTAAATTTTTAAAAGAAGGGATATACCTTTATTATAATTCTAATAATTATAACTTATCATCAATATCAAATGTATTCAAAGAATAAATATAAGTTCGGTAGTTTTTATATTATATATGAATAAAAAAAATTATTTGAATTAGAATAAAAAAACTTTGGAATGATTTTAAAATTGAGATAATAATTGCATTTTTTATAAATAAAGTGAGTTTTTGATATTTTATTCCAATAAGAAGATACTTATTCTTATAAACATATCACTTTCAGAAGGTAATAAGAAGAAGAAAATTATAGTTTTATTTATATATAATATATTACATTTTATAATAGATTTAAAGTTTTTATGAACAAATTTTTTTTTAAAAAAAAACTCTTTCCGCTGATCCACATTTTTTTAAAAAATTTCTTTTTTTGGTAATTTTCTTGAAAAAATTACAAAAACTCCTTCATACAAAAACAAGCCTCAAAGGACACAACCATCCATTCCTAGGCAACAAAATTTACATTATAACAAACAAGAAAAAAGTTTCGCTCAGCTTGAAAAACAGATATTTCTAGATCACTTTTGCTTTTAGGAAGAAGAAAAAGCAAGAATAAGCTGATTCACAGTA